CAAATCTTGAATTAATTCATGCGAAAATTGGGTTTTGATGACCATGTCGTCTACATAACAACTTTTCTGCCAATTAATGGCTCGAACAATTTATTTACAAGCCTTTGAAAGGTCACCCCTGCGTTTTTCAACCCGAAGGGCATAACCTTGTAACAGTATAGACCGAACTCTGTGATAAAGGCGGTCTTTTCTTCGTCCGTCGGGTCCATCTTGATTTGGTTATAGCCCGAATAGACGTCTAAGAAACTTAGCAACTCGTGCCCTGAGGTCGCGTCCACCAAGCGGTCGATTCTGGGGAGCAGTCGTCCTATTATGGCGTTGTATGGGGAGGGGGTCGCGACCACCAAGAATTCGTGGTCTGACTACGCAGGGCCATGTGCCGACTTCAATAGGTACTGTTACTTTCCCAAGGGGCCTGACCTCTTCTCCGCTGAAGCCCACCAAAGGAGTGTTCGCAGGCCTCAAGTCACTTCCCTGCAACTGAAGCTGGTCGAACGCGGCTTTGAAGAGAACATCTTCCGAGCTGCCTGAGTCAACGAGTACATACCTGACCTCGAAGTCGTTGATCCTCAGCTTTATCACAAGCGCGTCGTCGTGGGGGTAGAGGACCCCTCGCGCATCGTCTTCTGTGAAGAAAATTGGTTCTTCTGTCTTCGTCCGCTTCAGAGGATTCTGTTCTTCCCGAGCAGCTTGACGAACTGACGTCCGAGCTGCTGCTGAAGTACAACCCGCAACGATCGAGCCTCCCGCTATCACGTGGATGGTGCCCCGAACCGGCCTCTCTTCCGGAGGCTGCCTCTGCGACTGTTCGGCCGGCCTGCTGCTGGACTCGGGAGCATACTTACCGTGCTCCCCTCGCCAACCTGTTTTATTATTATCATTATTATTATTTTGTACAAAGTTCCTTAAATATCCGCGACAGATGAACTCCTCTATCTCGTCGCGGAGGTTCTTACAATTTTCAGTACTGTGACCGTGATCTCTGTGAAAACTACAGTACAAGTTCTTATTTCTCTCGTTGGGAATCCCCCTCAGACGGGGTGGCCACTTCACATACGGGGCGTCCTTGATCGCCATCAGGACTTCGGCCCGCTTCGCGTTCAGTGGGGTGTAATTAGTTCGGTCCGCTACAGGGGCTCGAAACGACTGACCCTGCTTTGCCCCCCGAGCTACATCTTTCTTCTTTCGGCTGTCCCCTTGGCTGGAAGGCTCTCCTTTTCTTTTCCTCTTCTCGGGCGCGCCCTCGCCCTTCTGGTTGATCTCTTCTTCCGTGGCTATAAACCTGTCCGCGAGCTTAAGGAATTCGGTTATGGTCGCAGGTTGGTTGACGACCATGTGCCATTTGAACTCTTTGTGTCACGCCTTTCTTGGCTGCTGCAAGGCGCACAGCGGGGTCCAGGCGCAGTATCTGCATGCACACATCGTTGAACCGCTTGATATAGCCCCAGATGGACTCTCCCTCTCTCTGTACTATGTTGAGGAGGCTTTCCTCAATTCGCGAGCACCGCTTGCTAGTGACAAAGTGGGACGTGAAGGCCTGCGCGAACCGCGCCCAACTTCTTATCGATCCGGGTGCCAAATTCCGATACCACGCGCGGGCCACTCCTCTGAAAGTGGTGGAGAAGGCCACGCACATGCACGATTCACTGGCTCTCGCCAGGTGCATCTGCGACTAAAAGGCGTCTACGTGGTCATTTGGGTCAAACGACCCGTCATACTTGTCGAGAGGGGGGAGCTTGAAGTCTTTAGGCATTGGAACTGCCAGGAGCTCGGGAGACAAGGGGGATGGAACTGAAAGGAGGGGAGCCTTGGCTTTGCCCGAGCTTACCTCTTCTCTGCCTCCGAGCTCAGGCAGGTTGTGGGTGGCAGATCGGCGAGCTCAGCGGCGACGTCTCTGCTTCTTGGCGGGCTCCACATTCGTGCTGCTCACCTCCGTGCTGTCAGGAATGGTTTG